GATTATCTTACTATTTTGTGGATAAATTAATTTTTTTTTAAACTGTTACTATTTCTCGTTTATTTAGTAATTAGCTCCATCTATCTACCGCAAGTGAGGTGTCATGACAACGTGATATGTTATGAAAACCACCTTCAGTAATGGAGATCATAATAAATGCTAAGAAGGAAACTAAAACCCAAGATTAGTCAAAAAATAGATATAATAGTCTTGATATTGATCTTGCTTCTTTAAGAATTACCTGTTCCTGCCTAAAAAACAGGAACTTGTAGGTAGAAATTGGGGATAAATATAAATCTAACCCACGTTCTTAACTATCTCCTGAGCTATCTATACAGGGTGATTTATTAGCTCATCATCAAACTTTGACATATCGCACATCCAGTTGAATAGTACCGTATGTATAGTGAATATAGTTTTAAAGAAATCAAGAAAACAATTTTATCTGTGTAGTTTTTTACAAATTTTAGAATATGAATATCTGAAAATATTGTTCTGCTTTTGTTCATAAGTGCAATTAAACTAAATATTTGTTTTCAAAAAATGAAATTTTCAAAAGTGAAGTTTCAAAGTGGATTTTGATAGTTGCAGCAATATTGAATTTTTGCATATTCAAAAATGTTATTGAAGTCTCGCTGTGATTATGATTTTGTGGCATATAAAATACAAAATTAAATAAAGGAAATTTATTATTAAATACGAAATTTTGGTATTACAGAAAAGATATTTAGAACGAAAACGTAATCTACAGGCTGGTTCAAATTCGATGTCTCAATAGGCTAACTCGGAGACAATAAGATAATAATAATATATAATATTCGTTACTTCTTTTTGGATTAAAAAATATAGGGTTTAACAGGTCTATTTCTTATTGTTTTAGAATAAAGCTAAAAATAAACTTTTTTTTTGTGTCGTCAAAGAAATTAAATTTACAGTTTCCTGCAAATTATAACTAAAAATTAAAAAAACATATTTCTGATATTAGAATCAAATACATTTCTTGAACTATTTAATTTATATCTGTTTTATACAAAAGTTGGAATAAATTGCATTATTTCACATTTTTTTATTAATATTTAATATTATTAATTATTATTAAATGATTTAATAAATTATTGATAGATGGCGATCATATATTTTTTATATCATAATATATATTTGTTTGTATTCAAAAATGTTCTGAAGTGTCAAATTAAAAATCCTGTTTTTTTAACATGTTAGAATGTTACATATTAAAAAATAATGTAAATTTTATATAAATTTTTAGTAGAATAATTTTTAGTTATAGTACCGTAATTTACAGGAAACTGTAAATCTAATTTCTTTAACGACACTAAAAAAAAAGTTTATTTTTAGCTTTATTCTAAAACAATGAGAAATAGACCTATTTAACCCCATATTTTTTAATCAGAAAAAAATAACGAATTTATTAAGCGAATAATCAGTGGTTGTTTCCATTTAAAAAAACGAAAATTGTCATAATATCTTAAAATGTAAAACTGAAAAATCTTTTTGGACTACGTCATCAAATTCTCTGTTAAAAAGTGTCCATATAATGTCTGAGTTATAATACTCCACCTATAATAATAACCAAGATAATTGCACTTGCTGGTTTTACGATATTTTCAATTTTGGCCTCTAGGGGAAAAACAAAAGATGATAGTGCTTTGAGGTTTTTGGCTTTAGCAGTTTCTCGAAAAACGAGATCATGACATAAGCTACTTTTCTTAGTTTCAGAGATAGCCTATTCGGACATCGAATTTGAACCACCCTGTACACATGATATACATGTGTACAGGGTGGACAAGATGTTTTTTTGGTTTTGTCGAAATTTGTGGTGGTCTTCTCAAGGCTTTATCCAGGTTATAATTTTTAATGTTAAAACGCTGTCCTCGTTGCCTATCTTGAACATTAATTTGTTCATATTCACCGTTAAAATCAGTTTTATTAAAAAATGAAGTTCGATTGTTTTGTTCAACTTTAGTTACTTTAATGTCGTGCCACAAGACCTTAATGTTATTTACATTAACAGAGAAATTCTTTCCAATTTTTTGACTTAGCTTTTTAAAATCTGTAGTGTTGTAAAGTTCCTTTACAATGTAAGATTAACCTTCCTTTTTAGCAGCTCTTATAATTGCAGGCCATTGAGAAGGAACATAAATAGGGCCGCTTTTCAACACCCTTTGTTTTTGACACTCAATAGTGGTGTGCATAGAAACTCCTTCATTTTGGGTATGACCAACAGTAAAAAATTTGTTAGTAATACTTTTGATATCATACTTGTTAATTTAGTACATGTACATGGAAACTATCATTTTATTTTTGGTCCGTGCTACACAGTTGTCAAAGTAGAATATAACTTCTTTTCCTATATACATTCATTTCATTAACTATGTGAGCTATAGCCTCATGCCAAAAATAGCAAAATCCACTCTTCGATGGTATTTAAAAAATTGTAAAATTAAGATAATTTAAGCGGATGTAAAAGAATGTTGAAATATCCCAACAAAGAGTTGGCAAAACTGCTTGTAAGTCAAAGCGTTTTTGGTTGAAAAAATGATATGTTAAACTTTGTATTAAAAATATGTGTATAAGTACACTTCTTTGCAACAGGTAACCCTTTGGCCTCTTGTTCGACTCCATAATATCTGTACATTTGGGGTATAGTTTTAATCGCAGGACTAATTGTTTCCCTTTTAGTTTGATTTCCTCTCATATCTCTCTGAACCGAACACTGACCTTTTGCTTTTTTCTAATAAACTTATCACCTATATCCAATGTATTCATGAACTTTGTTTTACACACTTTGATTCGTGCTCCATTTGATGTTAAATGATACCACAGATTTTCACTACAATTGCTTCCTTTCACGGCTCTTCTATATTTTACCTTAGATTTCTCTATGTGACTACTAACAAACTGTCTCTGGAGGCTGTTATCAGCCAAATTCCAAAAAGATGTATGTATGGTCTGTCTTTGGACTTCTGTTAACTTGCTTGCACACCTTAATCTACATTTTTGACCACAAGGTGGTTTCAAAGATTTTCCCGGAATTTCCTTATTACTTACAGACACGTACGGCATTCCCGAATATACTTTAACCTTTTTTATATTCCTTTTCCAGGTTTCAAGTCTGCGTAATCTTTTTCGTGATTTTGGGTTAGGTTTTTGTTCATTACCATCCGATTCAATTTCACCTTTAGAGGATTCATTCTCTGTAGACATACATAAATCGTTATCTGTCATGCGGGCGAATAGCTTTTGCTGGAGCAAGATTACCAATAATATGGCAAATGACGCTGTGGAAGTCTTTCTTGATATTCTCGTACTGATTATCGAGCATTTCCATTGCAAAAACCATGCACGAAAATCATATCAGCATACTCTTCAGTGTTATAAGCGTACAGTTTGAATTTCTTCTTGTATGTCATAATTAAACCTTACAGCAAACTGACATATTATTACAATGACAACTTTGTTTTTGTTGAATGTTTGATTTTACAGACTATTAATAAATTCGCTGCAGAAAACTTTAATATATGTCATATGTCAAAGTTTGATGATGAGCTAATAAATCACCCTGTATAATCTATACTAAGATAATTTCTCTGCGATGATGGAAAAAAACCAAATTTAATAAATTTTGTATCAATGTAGCGCCTCGGCCGCAAGCAACTTCGGCGGAATTAATCAAATTCGTGCATTTAATGTTTAAGAACCCGAGCTAAACGTACCTACAGCTATTTAATCAAAAACTATTTTAGAACATTATCGTTTTGTACTGACGTAGTAGCGCGTCGGCCACAAGTGACCTTGGCTTAATCAAACCAAATTGAAGATCAAAAATATTATTTTTAATAGATATTTGAAATCAATTAAAGAAAATAATTAATAATATTAATGGTATACCACATATGATTAATTATATAATTACCCACTCACATAGTTGAAAGTTAGTAAAGAGAAAAAAGTTATAATTAAAAAAAAAAATTGTCAGAGAATGAAAAGATTATATCAATTAGAAATAATTGATAAAATCTTTTCTCGCGTTGGTTCGATTTAATAGAATCAGCAGTAATTAATTAGACTTGAATGTCATTGAATAATTCTAATCCCGGTTTTCTGCTTTCGACGCGTGGCTAATTAAGCGCGAAGCGGAGTTGTGAAAAACTTAACGAAAGTGTTGTTTTTTTGCCTGATAATACCCAACTAATAATTTTCCATGCGACAAAGTACTTCTCTATGGAAAGCAATCACGCCTGTCATCTTGCAGCAACTGCAGCAACGACAACAACAAAAAAACCCACCGAGTAATAATTAAACTTATTGAGCCGTTCGCTTCAAGTAATTGGTAGAATTTCCATTACCGCCGCGTATAATTAACCGCTCTAATTAAAGAGTTCTTGTTATTTTTAGTTTGTCGAGAACGCATTTTGAAACTCTCACACGACATGATCATAGTGAAGAAGATGAAACGTGTAGAGATGGAATGATGGGAGAAAAGTCGTCAATAGGTTAATGACTGGTCTTTAAGGTATCATGACGGATAAACGCCGAGAACGGATACGTCGCCGAAGCGGGAGCAGAGGATTTAGTGGAAATGGCGCTTCGAGTGTCCGCAGCACTTGGGGCATCTCCGGTAATGAGCTTTTCACGTCCGAGCTTTCCTCATTAGTGTAACAGGGGGTGCCCCATTGGTGCTCGTTAGCACAGACAGACCCGAAGCCACATGCCATTTCATTAGAGCTAACAAGGACTAGACTGCTCTCTACGCTCGATGCAAGACATTATTACCGATGCCCGATGCGTGCCGCCGCCCGGGAGACAGACGCAATTATGTCCATTAACGATATTGTGTGTCACCGTCCAAGAACTCATCCAACATCATCTTCTCCTTTCAAATCTCTATCTCCGTCTAACTGTACCCAACATTTTTTTTTTGCAACATCATACTTTTTTTCAACCCCCTTAATTTATCTTATTCAAAAAAGCATACTTACAAAACTTGAAAATGATTTCTTAAAAAAACTTCTTCGACTTCCCTCGGTTTTTCCTTCCAGTTAATTTTCTTAAACTATTTTTTTTCCGTTAAATCCAAACAACCGGATTATCACTAAATGTTTACTACTATTTTCTTGTAAAACACAGCCGAAACTCGTTATCACGTGTGTTTTTGTCGGGACGTCGCGTGGTTGACGTGTTGTCGAGGTGTTTGTAGAATATGCAACCCGAACGTCCGTACGGTTTCGAGCGCTAAAACCAACTGACGTTGCCGACGTTCGCACCGAACCAAACGAACGGAGGACGATTCGGTCGGTGGGCGCAAGATCAAGCAGCAGCAGCAGCGTCCTTTGTCCGGTGGACGCGCCGGAGTTCATTTGTACAGGGGGGCGCCCCGACGCCTGATCGCCGATATATAATTCAATTACTCCAGGCGGCCCGCCGCGAGTTACCTACCCCTCCAAACCCTTTTACCTCACCCATCGAATAGTACTTCAAGAATCCCTAATTACTTCAATACCTACTCAATAAAATATCCCTCTTTATTCTTAAAAAGAACATTTTCTTTTCTTTTTAATTTAATCCAAACACAAAAATCTGCATACAAAAATATTCAAAAAAACACATAAAAGGTAATACTAGAAGGAGGCAATGAGAATCTAAAAAGAAAGCAAAATGAAAATCAGAAAAAAAAATTCAGATTGAAGCTAGATATGAGCTTGATAGAAGATAAGGAAAGTGGAGAGAGAAGATACAGAGAAATCAGAAGAAGGCAAAATCATGGCAGAAAATAGATAAAGAAAATCTACTCAAAAGCAAGTTAATCCGAAATCAAACCCAATTCCAAAACAAATCAAACTATAATAACAACAATAATGTTTATCCACAATCACCTTATAATTGAAATTTTATCCACACTTATGAACCGTATAAAGTACCACTTAATAAAGTAACTTTATTCCACTAGTTTTTGAAAAATCTGTAGAAACAATGGACGTTTCCTCTAGTAAGGAACGACTAGTACCAGTAGAACCTCGGATTTTTCTTGCGATATCAACCTTATTACATATAGAATCCTCGATATAAGTATCTGCTATGCCAGAGCTCCTCCACCCACCATGTCGTTTAATTATTGTAAGTTCGGCACCTTTATTGGCCGGTAAAGTTGTTGAAGTGCGCCTCATACAATGGCGCCGCTATAAGCTTTTGCATTTGCCAGATTCAAAAACGAAGCAACTGTTGAAGGAACTTTCGACAAAGTGTTAATTCCAACAGGTTATGCAGTACATATTTGATTAGCGTATTTTAAAAAGAACCTCTTATTGGATAACTTCTTCGGACGTAAAGACATGTATTTTCTACACGTCTCCACAGTATTGATAGAGAATCCCTTTTCTATAATTGTAAATTTTTGTGAAATACCTGTTTTGGTATCTAGTATCGAAACAATCAAATATGCGCCCCTATCTTCTACATCACTAATTTTCAAATTAATGAGTTCACAGCATCGACAAGCACCAGACACCCCCATTATTAGTGCAACCTAATATATTTAAAAATTTATTATATATAATATGTAAAGGTTAAGAGAGATTACCTTGATCATCAAATATTCTTTAGCCCTTGTCAAAAACTCTTCAAAACTAACAGTATGTAGACACTAGGGACAGTTAATATTTGCATCGCTTTAAATATGCTTCTGCAGCTATCTCGCGGTCCTCCACACGCCTTCTTTTTGCTGGATTAAGAGCTTGGAAGTTTGAGGCGATGATCCCTACACCTCAATGCCATATTGATGTATGGAATTAAAGTGGCTGAAGTAGGCGGTTCTAGCAGCTTCATGGGTTGAGATAATCCTTATTCTTCTGATGAGGTAGATTGTTGTGGTTAACATTTTTGTAACGTATTCTATATGTGAATTCCATTTCAGGTAGGAATTTATGTTAAGACCAACTATCTGGTTCTCTATTGGTAAGTATGAGTGATTGCGTCTTTTTTCCTTTCAGTCTTAGCTTATTGCTGGAGAACCACTCTTTCGCTTCCAGCTCGACTTCTTCGGAGTTCCTGTCTGTCTCTAGATGTCACCAACAGCTAAGTATCATCAGCGAAAAGGCACGTCAAATCAGCCGTTAAGTTTTGTGATAAGTCATTAGTAAGTCAAAACCGGGCCAAGAACAGATCCCTGTACTCTCTGTCTTCTTGCCAGTAAACCATTTGTGTTTTATCCTGGAGATATGTCCTGAAAAGTGAAAATGAAGTACTCCTTATACGGTAGTGATCTAGCTTAGCGAGCAGAATTTGGTGGTCGACGTAATCAAAAGCCTTTGTTAAATCGCAGCATTTGAGTAGTGAAAAGGACCCGTAACAGCTGATGATGTGGATCTTAGCTTTCGGTAAACGTGTTGTTCGGTGCTAAATATGTTGTGACTTTCAAGAAAATCATACCCGTTCAAAGACCTTGGATAGTGTTGCTTTAATAAAACTGATGAAATTCCATACAAGTCTAATGTATTTTTTGATTTTAGGTTCTGTATGACACTTCCGACCTCTATCAAATCTGCTAGTGTGAGGAAAGTAGAACTCGCGACCGACCTGCTTCTGTTCACGAAGATTTCCGAACAGAGTACAGGTCCAGGTTCAGAGTGCATCTGGTTGCCAATCTCACAAAAATAATTATTAAAGTCGTCCGGAGTTGGACCATCATAGTCACTACTGGTGTTTAATGTTTGTGATTTTTGTTGTTACTTTAGCAATCTGCGCAAGATGATCAGATAAGTGTGAATTTGTAGTTTTTCCCTTGATGTTTATTAAATCTGTAAATATATTATCTATGCAGGTTGCGGATCCCGGTGATACTCTAGAAGGATTGGAAATGATGCCTTCCATTCCAAACAATATAAGTTAACTTGGAAGCAACCCAACTTGAAAATAATCAAACCCGAAATCAACCTAACCTGACAATAACGAAGCTACAAAGCAAGTCAACTCGAAAGCAACCCATCTCGACCGCAACCTAACCCGAATACAACTCATCTCTAGAAGATTATAACTCTAGTTATAGTAACTATCCATCTTGACAGCAATCTCACCCGAAAGCAACTCAATTTCAATGCAACTCAAATCTGAAAGAAGCTTATTCCGACAGCATCAAAGTTACAAAGCAACTCAACCCAAAAGGAACTTAATTTCAAAGCAAATCAAGCCCGAAAGATAACTAATCTGACTAATTCTGAATTTCTATTAGTATTTGATAAAAAATCTTAAACTCAGCCCTTTGATTATATATAATATGGATTGAGCCAACGAGAGAGATAGCTTGCGCAAGGTGATCGAACCGAGATAGACATAGAAGCGTACTGCCATATAATGGGTGTACTGATAGAAGTGAGATAGATATAGAAGCGTACTGACATATAATATATCTATCTTTGTTACACTTTCACATTATCGCTTTCCATCTGCGTCTATTCACCTTGAGCAACATTTTTGTTAGTAGATATATTCAGTTAGCTCAATCCATATTATATATAATCAAAGACTCAGCCCAACCCTAAATGCCTAAAGCTGTCATTTTTTGTAGCTTACATTTAAAAAAAGTCTTTCCAAGAGAAACGTCAAAATAATCGAATCAACGATTTATAAAACCTGAATTGTTTAACTTGGAAGCATAAAACTTGGTACAACCTAACTTGAAACATTCTTTTTTAACCTCAAAATGTTTTGTCAATTTTTTCTGACTAAAATTAAGTTTTAAGTAATGAGGATACTTACATATTTCAGTACAGAAATCTTCTCTAAAACAAATATTGCTGATAGTTCCAAAAATACCATAAAATAAGTAGTGAAAATATGTTTTCTGAAATGAATGTAAAAATAATTACATCAAAAAATCGATTTTAGGTTATAACCTTAAAACTTCCGATGACATATAAACAATACGAACTTCACGTTAAATCGGATGGGTGCTTAAAACAGTGTGAATTAGGTTATGTTTTTTAATTGTCAAATAGGAAGAATCAAATCGAATTTTAATTCAATAGAGTTGTTTAATTTTATAAAATTAGCCAAAAACACTCGGAGTTTAACATATTTATTACCTTTGTAAGTAGAAATGGATTTTAATTTATTTAAAAAATAATTACGTCAAAAAATCGATTTTAGGTTATAACCTCAAAACTCTTGATGACATATAAACAATACGAACTTCACGTTAAATCGGATGGCGCTTAAAACTGTGTGAATTAGGTTATGTTTTTTACTTGACAAATAGGAAGAATCAAATCGAATTTTAATTCAATAGAGTTGTTTAATTTTATAAAATTAGCCAAAAACACTCGGAGTTTAACATATTTATTACCTTTGTAAGTAGAAATGGATTTTATATTTATTTAAAATAAATAATTGTCAAAAAATTGATTTTAGGTTATAGCCTCAAAACTCCTAATGACATATAAACAATACGAACTTCACGTTAAATCAGATGGCGCTTAAAACAGTGTGAATAGATTATATTTTTTACTTGTCAAAAAGGAGGAATCAAATCGAATTTTAATTCAATAGAGTTGTTTAATTTTATAAAATTAATCAAAAACACTCGGATTTTAACATATTTATTACCTTTGTAAGTAGAAATGGATTTTATATTTATTTTAAAAAAATAATTACGTCAAAAAATCGATTTTAGGTTATAACCTCAAAACTCTTGATGACATATAAACAATACGAACTTCACATTAAATCAGATTGTGCTTAAAACAGTGTGACTTAGATTATATTAAAAGGAGGAATCAAATCGAATTTTAATTCAATAGAGTTGTTTAATTTTTTAAAATTAATCAAAAGCACTCGGATTTTAACATATTTATTACCTTTGTAAGTAGAAATGGATTTTATATTTATTTTAAAAAAATAATTACGTCAAAAAGGTTATAACCTCAAAAAATTTCCGATGACATATAAACAATACGAACTTCACGTTAAATCAGATGGTGTTTAAAACAGTGTGAATTAGGTTATGTTTTTTAATTATTAGAGTAAGTATATAATTCATTAGAGTTTAATTTTATAAAATTAACGAAAAACACTCGGAGTTTAACATATTTATTACCTTTGTAAATAGAAATGGATTTTAAGTTTATTAAGAAAAATTTATTCTTGGTTATAACCTCAAAAATACTCGATGACATTTAAACCAACGTGAAAATAGGTTATGCCTTGTGTCACTTAAGAGGGCTAAACCCAAAAGTTTCTAGTTCTAGTATTAACTCTCGTT